ATTGTCAAAAAACTAGATGCAAAATGATGACAAAAGGAAAAAAAAAACAGCAGTAATGTGACTATTAGGCCATCAACCAGCCTACTCTATAACACAATCAACTACTACTTCTAGCACCGAGGAAGAAGCTTGCCCTGTTGATCTCACACCATTGTTCTGCAATTTAGTGAACCATTTTGAACGTCAAAGAATTGAAAATGTGATGTCTGAGCAAGAAACAGAGATGTTACAGAAGGTTATCATCCTCCCACCTTTGATTCTGATAACAAGCGGATGTTCAAATATGTGTTCTTTCTGAACTCCGAAAGGGAGAAAATAGAAGACAAATTTAGAAAGAAAGAAACTTATTCTAGCCCAATAAATGTATTTTTAATATTTGTTCAAACTCACTAATGGCACTGATCACCAATCATGTTTAGTTATATATTAAATAAAATTAGATATTTACACCAGTAATCATATTTATGGTAAACATATTTATGGTAAAACCGAACACAACAAAGTAAATTCCATAACATTTTAGGGTATTAAACATACCAAGTGAAAGATTATGTGTACCGAGCTATAAATAAATGAATGCAAAATCTCTACAATTATTATGCAAGTTTCCTTGAAATTTCACCTTGCTGTCACTTTCCATCTTCATCATCATCGTCATCCAAATCTTCATCTTCATCACATTCATTGTCCTCTACAGTATCATCAAACTCATCCTCTTGAGCAGCTTCACCCGTAAACCATGATACAGCATGAGGGATTATTTTATCCCGAATAGTTGATCTGAGCAAAAAGTAATCCTTAAACTCACTCTCATATATCAAGTATAATAATCACAAAAAAGATTTGTGTTAGTGATGAGTTTAGAAAAATGATAGCCCACCCACCCAATATCATAGTCTTGTTCCATTTGTTCATGAAGATCTTCAGCCTGTTCACAGATTCAGCAATTAATAAAAAAGTAATATAGATTTCAAAGCACTCTATCAAATAGTATGTTGCTACAGTAATATCAATAGAAAGGGAAATAACCTACAATATCATCTTCCATTTCATCATCATCATCATCATCATCTGGAACTTGAGGAGGGTTGAAAAAGTTGAAAAAACTATCACAATTTTCAGTTCTAGTTATAGGTTTGGCATAATTTGACCCCTTCTTTGGTTTCTTTTTCAAGATCTTTTGAGTAAGGCACTTTCCAGAATGCCATTCGATATTCGTCCTATAAGACACCGGATAGAAATGAAAAATTAAAGGCAGACAAAAATATATAAGGATTAAAGACATGAATTAAGGGGCAAACTAACTAACCCAGTTGCCTTCTCTAATATAGGTTCATCATCATCAAGCATGTGATATGTTTTCACCAAGACAGTGTTCTTGAAGAATGGATTGGGGTCAAAGAAAAACTCGAGCTTAAAACCCTTTGAATCTTCAACCTTAGAACACTTTATGTCCTTCAGATATTTTAGAGCCTCTTCGTCCCTCTCTGAGATCTGTAATCACTTTTTGTTATCAGTAGAAGAAGTGGTTGAACAAGTGCTACTACCCATTCACTGTGATTAAGAGCTCGTTTGGTAGCCAAAAGTAGATTATTCTACTTATTCTGCTTTTGAGTTGAAGAATTAGAAATTTAGACAACAAAACCAGCCAAGTAAGTAACTTATGACTTGCTAAATGTTGTATCTCAAGAAATTTACCTCCTCTGTCAATATCTCATTCATCTTCATTGCATTCAGCCAGAAGTAAGGCACGCCTTTTTCTACAATATATATGATGCTATTATATCAAACAGAATGCCATTCCAGAACTCTTATGTCAAAGAAAAATCTTCAAATTATGCAATTGGCATGAGCAGGATATCCCACCTTCAGTTCCATTGTCCTCTCCTTGGTGAGGAGAAGCTTCACTAACACCTTCAACTTCGACAATGCCATTCACTATTTCATATCTCTGCCACATGTATCGAGAATAAGATACTCCCTCCGCCCCCTAACTTTGTCCCATTTTACCTTTTTCGTCCGTCCCATTAAGTTTGTCCCATACCATATTTGGTAATATTTTGGTGGCTACAATTCATTCTTACTTTATTCACACTTTATCAATTTAATATCAACCACACATTTCTACGTTTTCTTAAAACTCCCACCACACCCCTTTGTCCCAAACATAGGGGAACGGAGGTAGTATTTTTTAAAATGTGAAACAGTTAGATATAAATGAGTTTTAGAGTTATGAATATGGAGTATTTCTGAAACAGGTAGTTAATGACATTAAAAAAGGATGGACTAGTTTGTACCCTGGTGTAAAGGGGTTCATACTGCTTTTGGTATTTAGCTTCAAGCGCTGCTCTCTCTTCGAAAAACTTGGCCTCAAGTTCATTATGTTGGCTCTGCAAATACATAAAACAATATCAACATTTTTTTCCATCTGGTTGAGAAAGGATTGCATTGCAGAGCGGGAAGTTGAGGTTCTAGTAACAAGGCCGACGCCATCAACGTGCATGAAATTGTAAGCTTCTTGTTAAAATATTTCCAATTAACATGGCCTAAGGACCAATATTAATATGTGTTCTATATTTATGTATTATATATAATTCTATATTTATGTATTATATATAATTATGTATTATATATGTGTGTATTATTTGATGGAAATAATACTTAAGGGGTACCATTGTGGTAACACCCTTTAGGACAATAAATGAAAGGTTGTGTCTATTGTTTTATCTCCGAATACATAACTACTCCTCTCCTTTGCCAAATAGCACACGTACCAACACCATCAAGAGGAGGGAACATCACAACTCTCTAAAATATACTCCATCTAAAATTACACACCCATTTCCTTAGAGCAATGGCATCATCTTCTTCCAATCTCTCCCAAATGAATATTGGATATTCTCCAAGTAAGCCCATATGAATTTATGATTATGATCTATTGTGTGATGTTATTTGATCTTGGTTATAAATATGATGATTAATTTTCCATCACTTCTTTCCAGGGAAAACCGAGGAATCGACCGTAGTGGAGCCTAACAAATAGAAAACCCCAAATTCACACACGAAAAACGAACCTGAATCTGCTTCAGAGCTTCTACACGCTTCCGTGCAGTCGGTGTCAAAGTCTCGAGGATATTCGAGTGCCGCCTAGCCAAGCTGTGGAGCTTTTTCTATATCGCATACCACGCAATTACACAAAGGCAAACACAAATACCATAAGAATGATATACTCGTCACTGAAAACAGTATAATCTCAAAAAAATAGCACAGAGAATCACCTTCAACGCATCAACTAAGCCATCGCGATCCTCTGCGCTCAGAGCTACAGATTTTAAAAAGAAAAAAAGCACAAGTGATGAAATTGAAATTGCTAAACGAATGCGAAAGCATGTAGGACGGAATAATACCGGCGGCCGCCGCGGGGAGGGAAGAACTGAGATCGGACATGTGGAACTGATCCTTTTCAGGATTAGTAGTCATAATAACAGCTTGCAAATTGATAATACGCAGAGATGTAAAAGGAAGGTCGTATAATTTTAATGGAAGGAAATATGTGAGTTTAGTGAGAGTAGGAATTGGAGTTTTGCAGTGGAGACGTGGGGTAGCAGTTTCGGAATATTTGTACTGAGTGGTGGCATCGGTGGGATGATTAGAAATAAATACTGTCTATATTTGGGAGATTTAGCAATTATTATTCAGTTTGTTACCGTTATTAGGATTCTAAAATGACTGTAAAATATCATGAGCAATTATTTTGTTAATCATATGAAAATCCTTTTTGGGGCGGATAGTATGTTTTTCAATTTGTTAATTGTGTTTTTTTGCCAAGCAATTATTAATTGTTAATTCGATGACATCTATGTGACACCCTTCAAGGAGCAGGTCTAAGGTTCGAAACTCAATCCACTCAAATATGTTGACATTAAACAATGAGTCGGGGTGTGCAAAATTATTATCCCGTTAACTGGTTTCAAAATATCGGGGACTGTTCTAATATTATGAGTGTTTGGAAAATGACGTTTAATCACTTTTAGCGTTTTCAATGAATGAAAATGTTGTTTGGTAAATAGACATTCATTTTCAAAATGAATGTTTGTTGTAAAAATTAAATTGACTTGTACATTTAAAAAAATACTTAATTAAATATCAAACTCAATGTGAAATACATTAAATTTGAAGCGTACATAACACATACTCTCTTCGTCCCCCAATTAAGTTTCCCTTTCCTTTTGGGGTAGTCCTTGAATTAAGTTTCACTTTTCCTGTTTGGCAAATTAACTACATCTAAAAAGTGCCAAACAATGCCAAACAGTACAAAACAGTGCTAAACAGTATCCAAACAATGTCCAAACAGTAAAATTTACACTCTCCCAGTAATTTTTTCCCGTAATAAGTTTTAAAAGCAATGGGAAACTTAATTGGGGGGCGGAGGAGTATAATTATGTGTGTAGACAATTAATTGCTAAAATAAATATGTAAACAACAATACAAAATAGATACACAGTAGTATTTACAAATCTAGTACTCTTTGGTACTCTAGCTTCCTTGTTCGGTTATTATTTCATTCATGAACTACTAGGTCAGTCATCGTTAAATACACAGTAGTATTTACAAATCTAGTACTCTTTGGTAATCTCGTTTCATTCTCAAACAATGTCCAACCTCGTTTTATAAAGGCTAAAGGGTCAAATAGGTCCTTGTACTCATATCAATAGCTCAATTGGGTACCCGAACTAAAAAAAGGTCCAATCCAATCCTCCAACTCTTCAAAATCGTTCAATTTTTTCGTTTTTCAAAGGCTAAAGAGTCAAATAGGTCCCTGTACTCATATCAATAGCTCAATTGAGTACCGGGAGTTTACCGGCTAAAGGGTCAAATTGAACGATTTTGAAGAGTTGGAGTATTTGATTGGACCTTTTTTTAGTTCGGATACCCAATTGAACTATTGATATGAGTATATGGACCTATTTGACCCTTTAGTCTTTTATAAAGGGTTAATACGTTGCACTAAAACTGAAAAAACTCCAAATTCCAGTACGAAGTAATAGTCAAAGCACTAAAATGGAAGTTTGGCCAGCGTTTTTTTTTTCAATTGGTTGTAATGAGAGCTAGAATTGCCCGTTATCATCTAAGCCGCGCCCGGCGCCGAACTCGCTCGGCCAGCGCTAAATGAAAATGGAAATAGAAAGTGGCGACGGGTCTAAAACCCTATTGATACCCGGATCCATTACACATTTCGGCAGAGGCGCAGGTTTCAACTACGACGACGACCGTACTGTGTCACGCCGCCAAATATCCATCCATCCCTACCCTTCCTCTGACCATGAACGCGATGGCCCGCCGGTTCGTTTCGAAGTTGTGGGGAAGAACCCGGTTTGGGTCCACAATAGCAAGAGCGGCGGGGTGAAGACATACCGGAGATCCGAAAGAGGTGAATTGGAGAGCGGAGACATGTTCTGTGTTTCAGCGAAGAACCCCGTTTGGTTCACGCTCAGAAGAACTGATTCCGAATCTCAAGGTAATGCGGGTAAGAAGAAAGACACGCTGGTTAGCAATAGCACTGATCCGGACTATGAGCAACGAGGGGTTGAAGAATTTGACCCTGATTCCATCAATCTATCAGACATTGACCCTGTCAAAGGTCTGGCTTTTAACCTAATTTTACACAACTTTTACTGCAGCCTTTTGTGTAGATCATCTCTCATTAGGGTCATACTTCATCACTACAGCAATTGCCCAGTTGCGCATTCCTTTTTTGGCTTAACCTCTTTATCAACTAGTTTCCTGCCCGCCATATACTAATTCATTTTAGTGTGCTAGCTAAGTGTAATGAAAGTTATGAAATAAATGCATAAGTTATTGTGTTTACCTAAGTTGAAGAAAATGACATTGCACACTTTATTTTGTTAATCTATTAAAGAAATACTAGTGTGTTGAAATACTTTTGTAGATAATTCGGCTGATTAATTTATTCGGTTGCGACTTGTGTAAATTCAACCGGATCAGCCACCTCCTGTTATATGTTAAATGTTATTGTAAAACTATGCAGAGTTTGGTTTGATGGTTATGGGGCATGAGTTTGATGCTTATCCAAAAAAAATGATAAAAGACATCAAGAATTGGGATTGGGATATTGAGGAATCAGGGGATGAAAACGAGAATGACGAAGGAGGGAGGAGGAGGTGGAAGAGGAAGAGGAGTTGTAAAAATGATGGTGATGGTGATGATGATGAGTGGAGAGGGGAAAGTGAGGCGGAGGAGGAGAAGGAAGCAATAAATAAATCAAGGAAACCTCAAATCGCTAAGTATATGAGTACTAGATCCAAGAATTATGGTAAACCAAGTAAGGGTGCCGGAAAAGAGAAGATTTTAGCTCAAACCGAAGGTACATGTGATGAAGATTCCGATGATGAGGACTCAGATGAGACGTTAGGAGGTTTTATTGTTGTAGACGAAGAAATTGGAGAAGACGATACTGCTGAAGACGATGATGAAGAGGAAGAATTTGATGAAGAGGAAGATGATTTAGAAGAAGAGTGATGAGGTTTGCAAGTATGCTCAATGCCTCGATGGTTCTTTATGATGGTTGTTGTTGTTATAACCCTGTAGTTTGTATAAATGCTCAATTTGTTGTGATTTGTACAGCTTTTTGGAATGCTTATCCAATATCATCATACATAGCCTTCCATTCATTTCATATTGTGGAGCTTATTCCTATAAATGCTCTTTGATTTGTGGCATTATTCGTAGTTGTTGTTTGATTTATGGCATAAACAAGTAAAAGTTGTATTACATTTTGGAAGAAAGAGTAATTGTTTATGATGATGTAAATAGTAATTGCGAAAATGACAAAATAGTGGATGAATTGAGAAACACATAGAATAGGGAGGATTTGTTTGTGTGAGTATTTATGAGAAGACAATGGAAGTATTTTGAATGAAAAACTAAAATGGAATGAATGTAGTTAAGTTGGCAGTTTCTGTGTGCTTTATGTCACAAACAAGTGAAAGTTTAATTATATTTTGAAATAAATTTAACTCTAAATGTAATTGTGTATGTTGGGGTAAATAGTAATTAAGGAAATGCCAAAATAATGGACTAATTGGGGAAAACGTAGAACAAGGAGGATTTGTTGGTGTGACTATTGCAGAGCAGACAATGCCATTATTTAGAATGAAAAAAGCACTAAAATAGTGGACACATTTCGAAACATGTAGAACAGGGAGTAATACTAATATTGTGATGTAATATTTTCCCACATTGTTTAATAGTTGGAGATAAGTGGATTTAAAAAATATATAAACACAAAATGTTGGAAGAAATACTAAGGACCTGTTTACTAACAAAGATATTTTCCTGTTTTCTACTCCCTCCATCCCAATTTGTAAGATACTTTACGGTTTACGATGTTTGACCGACGATAAAGCAAATTGATCCCTGTCAACACTCAAATTAGTTTTAGAAAATAAAATTTACATATTCAGAAATTACATTAAAACCGCTACAAAACCTGCAAAAAATAATTCAAATTTAATAAACTTTTGCTATATAAAGTAAAAGATTAAGAGTGATTTATGTTGACCAAGTGAATAGTAAATGTATCTTACAATTTGGGACTGAGGGAGTACTTCTGTTATTCGTTCTCCAATTTTCTTTTTTTATTTTTCAGTTTTTCTATCTCCAGTTTTTTGTTTCTATTTTTTTATGTTTTTACATCTGAAAAACATGTTCATCAATTTTTTCACCAAGTTCTGTGATCATCCAGAACTGACACGTTTACTTCACGGGTTACTAAATGGTGCTTATTAAGACTCGTGTTAACAAGCGACGCATAAAATAAACAATGTAATAAGATCATGTTTACTTCAAAAGGTTTAAAACACAGTTTAACATTAAAATGTCCAAAATAACCCTATACATATATAAACACACAAACATTCGTGAACACAAATATATAATATAATATGTGGGGTCAATCACCTAGTACGTGTATCCATACTCCTAACCCCTATCTTGCCCCTATACCTCGTACCCCCCACCCTACAACACCCTACACCAAATTGCACACCCTTGACCCCTACCCCTACCCTAACCATGATCTTAAACTCTATCCATACTCCCCTAAAACCCTTCATACCCACCCATACCTACTCATAGGGGTCGGGATAGGGAAGGAAGTTATGGGTGGGGGTGGGTGGGGTGGGTGGGGTGGTAAGGTCTAAGGGTACAGGGTTGGGTGGGTGGTGGTTAGGGGTAAGGGTGGGGGTAATGAGTAGGGTTGAGGTTGGGGTAAGGTAGGGGTAGGGTAGGGAGTTGGGATAGGATGGCGGCAGGGTGGGGCCAAGGTAAGGGAGGGGGTAGGGTGGGGCCGAGGTAAGGGTCATGTGGGAAGGGGTAAGGTAGGGGTAAGAGGTAATATACGAGGTATGGGTAGGGTAGGGTGGGTCGGGGTGGGGTTGAGGTGGTAGGGGGTGGCGGTAGGGTAGGGTGGATCGGGGTGGGACCGAGGTAGGGGCATGCGGTTGGGGGTGGGGTAAGGTCATTGTAGGGAAAAGGGGTATGCGGGTTGGGGGTTGTGTGGGTAGGGTGGGGTAGGGGTAAGGGGTCAGGTACGAGGATGAAGGTACTAGAATGGAATCGAAATCGGAGCGGGACCGGACCCACCACTAGGTGTAAGTATACAAATTCATTGCAGCGCCGTGTAGCATCCGCATTTTCCAAATTTGGAAAACTAGTAAAAGTCACTTCTCCAAATCTGATGGAGTATATGGCCCGGGGACCCCCGGCCCACAGACTCCTACTGCTCCAATAAAGGCACAACAGGCCCAGAAAGCACAACAGGTCCAAATCACAGCGCCCAGAGTACCAAGCAGCCCACAATGCGCACCAGGGGTGCCTTCGGCCCCCTGGCCGAAGGCTCTAACTCTCACAGGAGGGCCAAGACAGCAAAACAAAGTTACTGGAAAAAACGGAGAAAATCAGTAGCCCTCGGCTCCTGGAGCCCTCGGCACCAAGGGGGTCCCCGGTATTCAGGTCCCTCGGCTGGTCCTCTGCAGCCGAGGGCACCTCTCCCGACATGATATCCGCGCCACATGCGTACAGATCACCGTATCATGTACAACGTCCCATCCAACAGCCGCATTAAATGCGGCCACATGCGGCTGCCAGCACCAACCAGTTGAGGTGACCTCTCGGCCAATGGATGCTTGACACGTGTCCCTGTCCGGCATTTATTGCTACAATAAATAGCACTCCATTTCCCCATTTGTAACCAAGTCAGAATACGCTGAAAACGCTCCACACTTTACAATACACTTTCTCTCTCTATATTTACTTGCTCTGACTTCTCTCTTATTGTTCTCCGTAATAACCCCTCGGATAAGCTACCCCCGGGTACACTATCCACCATTTGGTGCTCTCGTTGAGAGGTCGAACAATCAAGTAAGAAACCCCCCCCCCCCTCGACCAAACGCAAATACACCCATCTAAAATGGTGAGAACGACTCGTGCCAACTCCAAGAACGTAGAGGACAGGAACCTGGCCCTCGGCGAGGTCGACGTCCCCGAAGCCTCTAACAGGGCTCCCGGGGGCGGCGTCATCGCCGGGTTGGACCAGACGGCTGTCGACCTACGCCAGCAGATTCAGCAAAATGCCCCCGACGCTTGCCTCGGCATCGAGGCCAAGAAAAAGGACCGGAGCGAAAATCAAATTAGCCCCCCGGTCCTCACCATCGACGTTCAATCGGCGCTCTCCGCCTTCATCCAGACGCTCACTCAGAACCCGGGTGCCTTCGGCACTTTGGTTCCCCACCAGCCTCAGGTTGGGGGGAATACTATGCCTCCCCCTCATCCACGACCCCTCGGCAACCCGGTCCTCCAGATGGGGAACTCCGAGGGGGTCGTGGCCCAAGATACGGCCTCCCAGGAAGTCCAGTCCCAGGACCGCCACGACGTGAACAAGGAGCACCTCCGGACCTCCGCCCTCGAAAGGCTCGGAGGGGCGCAAGACCGCCGAGGGGTCCAAGACCGCCTCGGGGGGAGGGCGTTCCAAAGGCCTCAGGAAAGTGGCGGGTCCGTTTCCAGGGCCAATGAGAGACGTCCCCCTCAGGACAAAGGCAAGGCACCTCTCCATGCCGACGACGCACGCCATCAAATCAATCAAGCCCACTCGGCCCGGGTCCATTTGCAGGGGACGGAGGCCCTCCAGAAGGACCCCCAGGACAAAATCATTGCGGCCCTCCAGCGCCGGCTTGACGAGATGGAGTCCACCAAGGCCCACGCCACCACTTCTGCCCCTCATGCGGACTTCAAGTATGAGGCGATGATGGCCAAAATGGAAGAAATGCAGAAGAAGATAGCTGAGGGCTCCGGGGAACCCACCATACAGCTCCGGACCCGGACGCCATTTACCCCAAGGGTATTGGCTGCCCGGATCCCGGAAAAATACCGAGGGCAACTCATCAAGCCCTATGACGGAAAGACTGACCCCCAAGAGCACTACAACAGGTATCAAAACAACATGATGATGGTGGGGGCATCAGATGAATATTTGTGCCGCTGGTTCCTCTCCACCCTAGAGGGGTCGGCTTACGAATGGTTCAATCGATTGCCCGAAGGCTGCATTGACTCATGGCAAGAACTCGCCCAGCGATTCTTGACGCAATTTGCGGGGAGGCGCCGCACAAGAAAACACTTCTCCCACTTGCTAACAGTGAGGCAGAGGAAGGAGGAGACCCTTCGGGACTTCCTGGAGCGCTGGAGGACGGAGACTGATAAAGTTGATGGCGCTGACGACGGGACCCTCCTGGCCCTCCTACAAACAGTACTCCGCCCCGGGAACTTCTCAAGGAGTCTCATCATCGAACCCCCCCGCGATTATATAAGGGCCCTACAGCGGGGGGACTGGTACGCCGAGGCCGAGGAGGTGGAGAAATGCCACCATGTCCCAGATCAGCAATGCCCTCGGCCAGAAGACAAAGATAACCGGGGGCCGGGGGCTCCCCGCAATCATCCCAGGGAGTCTGCCCCCTCCGGTGATCGCCCTCGGCATGGCCAAGCCCGGGGGAGGCTACAAGGGGAATCCGAGGGCCTGGGCGCAGCCTGTCCTCCTAGAGCACCCTCGGACACCACTGACGCACCCCGTCAGCGTCATCCTGTATTTTGCTGAAAAGAGGGGCCTCGTGGAGCGAGATTCACGCGCGCCCTCGGAAGTGTTTGCCATCAACCCAAACTACCCCTACTGTCGTTTCCACCGACACCAAGGGCACATGACCGATGATTGCCATCAGCTGAAGACGGCCATCGAGAAATTGATACAAGCGGGCCATCTGTCCCAGTTTGTCCAGGGCCCTCAGCAATAGGCCCCCCCTCATCAGGGGCCACCCCGAGGGCAAACTGCGAGAGGGAATGCATGGGTCAACCCCAACACCATCCCCCTCGGCAAGAAGAGGGAGATTGGAAATCTGGAGGAGGAGGAGGAGGAGGAGTACCCCCGGTATCAAGAAAAGAAACGCCACATCCTCATTATCACAGGGGGAAATACCGGGGATGATTCTACGAGTCAACGAAAGAAGTGGGCTCAATCACTTTACGTGGGGGAAGTCACTCATATGCCCCCGGTAAAGCGGCTGAGGGAGGAACCCATTATCTTCACCAACGCAGATCTCCCCCCAGTATCCTCCCCCCACAGGGACGCCCTCGTCATCCGCACAGAGATCAATGACACCATTATTCACAGAACTTACATTGACATGGGCAGCTCCGTCAATGTAATGTACCCCAGCACCTTCAGAGAGCTGCATCTGGAGAGGGGGTCCCTTCGGCCCATCAAGACCCCTCTTGCCGGTTTTACCGG